ACAATAAAATTAAAATTTATCTGATGCAATCCGGTAGATGACTGGATAGTTTTCCTTCTGCTAATACATTTTGTAACTAGACTGTCTGACCACAACACCACTGACTGTTTATCAGAAAGATAAAAACTGAATGCTTGGAGAAATGAAACAGGTTGCTGTCATGAAATATTTTGACACTTAGTTGAGTCATTCCTCGACTATATGGTATCCTTGAAATTCATTAGGGCGCTGTTCCTCACCTTTCAGTAATTGGCATAGATAAATCCACGTATCACGAGTTAACTTATATAACTTGGCCAGTGAAAAATCAGTTTAGCAATTACACTGTGCTTCATTCATTCGACCTCATTAATTTTATAATTGACGTCAACGTATGATAACTATCCTCGAATGGTATATCAAACCCCAGAAATTCTTCTCTGAAGGAATCAGTTTGCTTCTCATATGATGATTACATTGAAACCTAAAAAAACTGAAATTGAAATTTTAGAAAGATTTACAAATATATCGCCCTTGTGACGCACCCATAGAACTTTACATATAAAGGAATGAAGGAACAGTGGGCAGGAAACTGGGCCTTCCTCCAGGTGACTAGTTCATGGTTTGTCTTGAAAACACTGGACTACGTCCATAAACGAATAAGTTTTGTCAAGCTACAAAAGATCCACAGATGACATTCTGATCATCTATGATGAGAATGGTAATCCTGAAGTTATAAAACAGAAGTTCAGTTATTGTCAGAAGTATATGATTGCAATAAAAGTTGATTTACGATTTTTTTTGGATGTTGAACTCTGAATAAGATGAAATATTTCCAAGAAAATGTCAGTTTGCATGCAAAAACCCTGGAATGGTCAATATGCTGAAGTTCAAATTTAAGTTCAGCTAAGTGGAAAAGAGAACCTAATTCACTCATTGTGAACATGAGCCAGACAAGTTTTAGACAGACTACACTATAAATGAGATGCTGAAAAAAAAAATCAGGGAAGTGGTGATCGAAAATGTCTATCCTTCAAGATTTATTAAAATGAACATGCAACCTAGACAACACCAGGAACTATTATCATTCCGGAGAAGACGCCTTTTATGAATTTCAGTGGTAGAGAATCAGTTGAAGAATGCTCATTCAACTAAATGTTTGACCGTTTCCTTTAGTCAGCAACTGATTTTAGAATGTGCTACAGATAGACTACTGTTTTGGACCACCTCCATATCTGTCTATCAATTTATCTGGTCACAAATAATTGTTTTTATAAGCTGCAGAAAGTAGATTCTATCCAGACATATTTTTAAACACAATTTTGCGGGGTTGTTTGGAACATAGATCAGTCAGTAGCCCGATTCTTGAATATCTGATCATCTCTTTTCGATCGACTTCATCGGAAACCTCAAGAAAAGTTATTCGTCAAAGTAAAATCAAGCGCCATAAACGAAGAATAGACCTATTGCATGAACATTTTAGAGGTCGCAGAAACTCATCAGTTCAAGGTTATGTCCAGCCATTATTACGTAACATTGCCACTTTTTAAAATTACTTATATTAAGAGAAGTTAATGGAAAATTCTGAGATTATTATCACGCTTCATTTATCAGTAACACAAGTGGTTGGTTAAGAAATATGAAAATGTTGTGAAAAAAATACGCCAATTCACAGTCATCTTATATACTCTGTGATAACTTACAGAAAATCAATGGCGGAATCCATGTCTTCATTGTATGAAAAATACAGTACATCATTTTCATGAAATAGCTATGTTTTCGAAAATGTCCATGTTTTATTATAATTATTATCATTATCATTGTGAAGTAAAATGCGTTACTAGCACTGGTATCAAAATTCCTCATAAAGTATTAACTAAGAAAAATTTCTAATTTGTGAATTCCATATTATTCGTTTCCAACACAAATTACATTGATCTTTGCGACCAGCAGAGGAATCCAGGATGCGCGTTTCTTCCTATTTAGAACTTGTCAGCTAGATGTACTTGCACCCCAGTGAGTGGTAATTGTTACCTCCGGGGCTCGAACTGAGTACCCTTCGCTTCAAACGCCGGAGTGTTATTTACTAAGATGCTGGGGAAGGATCAAAAGTATCATTACAACTTATGCAAACTAGCGCAAACTTCGACAGACGCAAAATTGAGTCGAAGCATTTTAAACTGTCATTGGAAAAATTACTAGGCAGTGGATACAAGTGTGACATTACATAAATGGTTTGATATCTTCTAGCCTACTGACCAAAAAATTCTTTGAAATTTCTATGGAAATCATCTCAGTTTCGTGCTTTCAATCTAATACGTTTACGTAGGAAAAAGATATGGATAACTTCTTTTAGTTCTGGTAACTGTTCAGTGATTTTTACTTCCGCATTCCTTCTAACCCTTGGCTATCCAAATATTTCATATCAATAAAGTGGTATTTCTTCCCTGACTTTGAGTCTAAAGTAGCGCTTTTGCATTTCTGAGAAGACAAGTTTCCTGAAGATCGCAAAGGCACTTGTATGATGAAAACTAACTGACCTAAAACAAATCTCAATAACCTTCAAAAGTATATCAGGTATATTCCCAAAACGTAAATTTACTGGATTCCACGAATTTGATTTAGCGATACCGAGATTTACTCTTTATCAAGTGTTTATAACAACAAAGTAGTCATTGGAATTTAGGATGAGAAACCCTGAAATAAGAAAGAGATTGACTTTACTTCCCAACTTTTCTGTCTTCGTGTTGTTCATGCAAATCTGGGCTCCTTCTAGAGACAAGTACTGATATTTCTACATGCAAATCTGTAACAGTGCCATACTGTATATGAAAAAGGACATACATTAAGTCACAAGAAGTAAAAGAATTGTGCAATGTCCAGAAATGACTGTTCGACATTTGAGAGCAGCTATGAAAATACACTAATCTATCATCTACAGCACTCAGTTGATCGTTCCCATACACTAAGCAGATTTCGGTTACTTTTCTGCAAGTAGAATCTTCAGCGTTCAACTGTAAAGTTTAAAGACATTCTAGAAAAAAGCTCGACCATGCATAAAGCAGGGAAACAAAAATGATCCACCATTAGTTGACATCAACAGTCTGAACAGATTAAAAGTTGTGATTTCGCTGGTGTTTGTACACTTGCTTTATTGATCTTGTACAAGTACATATTTGGTCAATTACTGAACAACCAGCATCTAGAGTCACATTTCCTATCCGCTGGAAAAAAAACTGTAAATATTTTTTTGAACATATTCTACTGCACACCAATCTTTTTATCAATATTACCAGGTATATAAGAAGAGTATAATAACCAGTTACTTACTTACTGCATGTTGGTTTGTCTGTTTGCCTATGGCATATATGTATATGTTTGTTTGAGTGTGAACGCACGGAGTTGTGTACACAAGTGCTGTTTTGCGTACATCACTGCATAACTGATGATAAAAAATAAATTGACTATGAAAGGTACACAGTTTTCCTTCCAGGTTAGTACTTAAACTGCACCAAAATGGCTGCTTTCCGAACAGAAAATACAAACTGAAAAAGGTATCAAGAATTTCAGTTTGTGTAATAAGAGAAAAGAATAGAAACATCAATAAAGTTGACTTAACGTATATACTATTAAGTAGGATTGTACAAATGTGCACATCTGATAATGCGTATATTATATACTATATGTTCAGATACCTCTCTACTTAGAAGTAAGATAATAATAATAACAATAATAATAAATCAAAGTGTACTATGCCTTATTCAAAGTCATTCAGATTCTAGGTAAGTATATGAAAGGTTGAATATATATTATACTGGTATAAAAACAGTTTCATTGAATCGAGACAATGATTAAGTAATTATTTTGCCTTATCAGTGGCATACAAGTAATGATTACATTATCATGTTGATTACAATAGAAGCAATATTATCTAGGGCACTAAGTTTTGCATTTAACGAAAGGAAGACATTCATAAGTGTCCAGAAAGCTGATTTAAATCGGTAACTTTAAGCATTTATTTGGTAATGGTAATTATGAATAAATTATCAGTTAATATTGAATGATGTTTGAAGATAAAATGGAAATCTGTGTCACCTCAAGATACAAATCGGTAGCCATTAAGTTATCGATCCAATGCTCTGCCAACCTTCAGTCATCATCTATTATTAGTAATACAAGTTTGCGAAATCACGGTTGTCTCACTTAACTGTTGATTAAATGACGGCAGTTGTATAACAGTAACTGTTAGCATTATCTCTACTGCATATCTCATCAAGATAGTTTAAACGTAAAATGCAGCTGACATATGAATATTCATTGTTGTCAATAATAAAGATAATAGAGTAGTAGAGACAATTTGTTCTATATTTCGAAGGGAGATTTTCGCACGATGAAAGTGACAGACAGGAAGAATGAAGTGATCGAGTTCCTAAGTTTGAAATTCTTTTAACTGATTTTACACTTCACTTTGTAGGTCTCTGAGGATTTATGAATTGATTTCAGGTTGATATTCATCATGACTGGACAGCTGTTTCGTCAAGGTATGGGAATCTTCAGCAGTGTGTATTAATGGCCAGCCTGTTGCTATTCAGTGGTTTACATGTTTTTACTTCAGTCAGTTCATGATATACCGTTAGGTCCATCAAATATGGTCGTTGGGTATCTGTCCTCCTGTTCGACTTCATCTGTCTGACCAGTCACGATTTCTAATTAAAACTTCAGCAATCACATCTCAAAGCAAATCATTATTGAGGATTAGAAAGCTTAGCTATCAAGCCTGAAATTCACAAGCAATTTAAATAAACTTCAAAACGAAATATACACATAGTGATCGTGGGATATTTATCTAATTAAGTCTTGATATTCAATTGTGATTGACGACTAACCTATCTTAACCACTACATGAGAATTAACGTGAGATAAATAAGTGAACATTAAGCAGATGACAGATTCCACATAAGTGACAAGTACTGTGTACAGCTTAAAATACAAAACACGCTTTGCCCACTCAATGAACTTACCATGATAGTTGATGTGACTAAAACCGAAGGTATTCGGACTTGAAGTATCATGTTCAATGTCTTGAACATACCAGTCACTATTCCTGTAAGAAGTAGTAGTAGTAATAGTATCAACGGTTGTATTGTTATTTTTACAAGTGAAATATGAATAATCTACATTAATGTAATCTGATGTTATTTGGTAGTTTGTAAAAAAATTTGCAGTAAAAGAGGTTTGAGATAGGTTTACAAGTTTTCCATTATTTTTGAATGGTTGGGGTGTTGTTTCCAGATTTGTAAACAAATCACCATGTCTTGATAAACAACAAGCGCTAGGCAGTATCATGTATGATAATAAACTAGCCAATAATGTTACTTCTATCAATAGTTTGGAAAGAAAGGCATCTTTTAATTTCAAAGGCACTGGAAACCAACTTGAAGTATACCGGTTGAAAGAAAGATATTCCATACTTGTTGTTGTTTGCTTTGTAATATTCTCTTGGCTATCGACACGCCTGACAATGTTGATAGGGTTGATGATGCAGATGGTGAAAAGGACCACAACTCTTCATATTTTTGTGAATGACAGGAACTCATCCGTTGAAATATTTTTACTGATGATAATGACGGTAATGTTGATGAAGACGAACTCAATTTTCAAGAAACTGTTTTGGATCAGTAAAATAAACTTCTGATGTGCGTAATTGATCACTGACTATTCAAGTGAGAATGTTCAATTTATACACGTAGATTATTGCTGTTATGATTGAATTTGCGTGTGAACAAAATTTCCTGAGTGAGTGAAAACAATTTCTTTTGAGTAATTCAAAGTAACAATTATGATTGAAGGTCTTGAGTAATATGACCTGAGGCATTCAGAAGATTGATGGGAAGACTTAAAATTTTCTAAACAATTTAGGATGCAATTATTTCGCTCATTAGTTGCATACATTGGAACAAATTAATATTACCTATCCTAGAATAATTATGATTTGTTTGTTCTGCTCATAGAATTACCAATTTGTGTATTATTTAGTATTAACTTCTTCCTGCAACGGTTGTTCCGTCGAAATGGATAATACAAATTTATCTTAAATGTTTTAAACTCCGAACCATTCTTTAGAATTTATAAAAAAGGTACTAATATGAGTTGTTATAATTAATTTGGTGGTGTCAATTGGTGGTTATGATCCTTGGTCATCATTGGATATTGAACAACATTAAAGAATTCACTCATTCATAATAAATGATATCCTTTGTGATTATGACGCCAAAATATCCTTTTGTAGGGGATAGAAAAGCAGTTAATAAATAGATAAGTTTTCAATTGGCTCTTACTTTCTAGAAGTGATGAGTTCCCATCTATATATTATAAATCAAATTACAATCTTTGGATTAAATAACCTGTGTCACAGAATAATCATGGTGTAAAAAGGCAGATGGGTCGGTAACTAATAACAGTAAATAGTGATCATATTCAACCGGTAAAAGAAACCAACCGGCCGGCCGGCCGGCTTCTTGTTAGACGATTACATTTACTATGTTGTATGTGATGCAGACATGTACACATTCACGTACAGTCTGCGGGATGGCATACTAAAGTGTGTAAGCACATGTATGACTACTTGTTACTTATAACTTGTGCACAGACTGGTATTGAATAACATCTATGTGCATTGATTACCGTGAATGGGTATGCACAAAATTAATCATACTGGTACACAAGTGTGTAATCTACTGTTTCGTGTTAGTAGACCATGTGTAAAACACTCCAGTCCAATCCAATTCTGAATTACAGATTAGTTTGTACAGAAATACAGTAAAAATTAACAAGTTATTCTACTATAGAAAATGATACAATTAAATAACTTTCCAAGTTTAGTTCATTATGTGGTATTAAACATACTTTTTACTGACGTGAAACACTGACAGACACATTTTCATGTGTACAAATTATGAGCTCATTTATCTTAGATATTCAAGGAGTATTATGTAATCCGAGATGTTTAGGTAACGAAAAGAAACGAAATGAATCACAAGAGTTACAGCTTCAGTAGAATCACCAGTAACTTTGTGGTGGTTAGGCCTAAATTACTGTAACACTGAATACATGTGTGTACTTAAGGTTATACTGAAGGTTTGAAATAAATGAGAAACTTAGGATAGTTTTATTTATCACTATTGATAATTCACAAATCTAATTAACTATCATCATTCAGAATATTCATCTACTGGACCGTCATGAAATTCATTTTCTTCTTTTATTATGAACAGATTTCAACATTTTAAGATTGCATGAACTGTTGAAGACATTTACTCTCAGTCAGACTGATATCTGGATGTCAAACAAGTTGAAGGTAATTTAAATTTAGTTCGAATAAACACCTAGCAAATAACATAGTTATCGTTTGCTTTACAACGTTGCTGTCTAAAATAATTGGTAGCGATCTACTGAAATTTATGACTAAATTAAGTTACCACTCATTTTTCAGTCATTCATTCTCCATAGGACTTTAATATGTTTCAAAAGAAACGCTATTTCACAGTAATATGAAGGTGCATTCATTCCAGTCATTTCAAAAAAAGTGAAATAAGAATTTGCAAGTGAAATACTGTCTATTAAAATATTATGAAAAAGTAATTTAGGACTTTGAACGAAATATCTCTATTCAAAGAAAGGCAGAAGTCTTCCGTACAATAGATAAAAATAGGAAAACAAAGCCCTTGAATACTCACATGCTTTATACAAGAAAACGTCATTGTAACTCATGAGAATCTTTTAAAATTCTAAATGATTATTTGCCTCTGTTGACTTGCAGTGGTAAAAATAACTTACCAGGTAGTCTCACAAAATAGTTATAACCCAAAATAAACCATTAACAAGCAACTGTCTTAATGAATTCAATCTAGAATAAACGTCATCATTTTCATACCTCTTCAGTTTAATGCAATCAGTGTATTTGGCATGAATGAAGTGTAGTAAAGATTCTCATACTTTGGTCTGTGAACAATGAACTTGAAAACACTCAGCTATATCATTAAAATACCTAATATTCAACTGATGGCTGGATATATGTGTGAAAAAAATCAACTAAACACTTTAATCTCCTTAATCTAAAATCCTTATAGTCATATGATTGAAAGAAATTCATGTGATAAATAAAGGAAATGATCAAATCACCCTTGAAACAATTTTCTTCAAGTTTCTTGAAAGAGTTAATTGAAAAACCCGTTGTTTTAAAAACATACATTAATACTAACTACATGTATTGTAATTCAATTTTATAAGCCGAATGATTTGCAAAGATTTTATGATTGAAATCACAAAAGAACTTGGAAGTTTTGACAACTTGAGATCCAGATTTTAATATTGTCACTGACCAACAACTTTTAACTATAACCACTAAACTTCAACTACCCCATTAATTAATGTTCTGAAAAGAAGTATGATATTCACCAACCTACTATTAGTAAATTAGTCTGTAGATATTTTCACAGGCACTAACTATCTTTCACTACTACATATATGTTTATATATAAATGTTACTGCAGTATGGTCAAAGGTTGTGTGATATTCATAGAGATCTATCTGTTTAGCTTCCCAGTAACAACTAGTCGTTTGAACTTTGAGATACTTCCCAGTCTGTTGTATATGGCTGAAAAATAGTGAGTCGGTTTTACACTTGTCCTTATAAAAAATTGTATGTATGTAAATCCTAATGGTTCTGATACTAGTTACTTATTTACTTATTACTATCCCCTAGGAAACATCCTCTTAATTGTGAAAACAAGAATGAGAAAAATCTAAGATCAGCGTAACTTTTTTGCAACATAATGTAGACACGTTTTGTGAAGGAAGGAAAAAGTTCATCATTTCCTTTTTGTTTACACAATTGACTAGGTGTGTGTGTTGGAATTTTCTAAGACTTCAGGATTTATACTAACTAAATTTCCTTGACCTTCAAAGCCAGTAGCCGAAGTCATTATTCAGAACGTCATCCCAAAAGCCGATATTGTGAAACAAGACAGATTACATCAAATTCTGTATCGATTAAGTAGTTGACTGATTACGAAATATACTGAAACAAATTGTAAATTGTTCACTATACTATTGAGAGTAGGTAAAGATTGAAGCAGATAAGTTTTATTGTCTGATTTTCTATTTATATATCACTTTTTTGCTTCAAAGCTAATCATATAAACAGAACATGTCAGGGGAAATGATAGTTCAGTAAAATCTACAGGAATCAGCTCACTCTCATAAGCTTTTGGAGTGCTTCAGTACTGTAAATTTGTACAATTTCTAAGATATGACAATGCTTCTGACTTAGTTCAACCCAGAAACTGTCAGTTTTTATCAGTTGCTATTAATTCTTGTGGCAGAATATCTCTGACTTCGGTATGTAGAATTACATTTTCGTAAACCGGTCGTTGAATTCTTGCAGGTCGATGATAAAACTTGCATTTTCCTGAATTCACTTTCCAGTTTGTTTCAAACCATTTTCATTATAAGGCAAATATTTCCTCATAGATTGAAGAAAACGGATTACATGCCATAAAAACAGCCAAACGATGCTCATATGCTAGAATGCCATTGTAATGTGCTATATAAATCTTTGCAGACATTCACTAAGCTGCAAGATGTTGAAGCTCCTTGCTTCTTTTTATTCATCGGCAGGACTTATCCTCACCGTCAGAGAGTTTGCTGTATTATTATAAAGTCTAATCCCTATGACGAAGTATTTCAAACAAACACAACACCATCGAGTTATTCCAGGTGCTCCCTATCCCCTCGAAAGACTGAAGTGAGAATGCTGGAGGGTTCTCTGGAGATCTGTTTGGAGAATTCAAAGTTTGTGGGAATGATATATGTTTTTTTTCAAATGACTTTATTTTGTTCAAAGCTGAAATTGATCTCCAACAGGGAAAACTGTTTCAAAAACTATACATTTAGGTGATGACAAGATCTTAATACATTTTTTGATTACACAGACGTAAAATGTAAGTCTGTCTTGATTTTTCTTTAAGTGTGTCTTCGATATACGTGATAATTGGATTTCGTTTTTGCGTACATCTATGAATGAGTTAGAGGTAGATTTTTAAATTGAATATTTTGTTCCAGGGTCGAGAATTTTGAAACATGAATAAGGTAAAAAAAAACAACAAACATAAAAAAGCACTTAACACCTAGATTTTGGTGTGCATTTTAAAGTTCTACTGCTTTTCGGAATCAAGAAACATAAAACGATTTTGACAGTTTTCAAGCTGTGCAACAAAGGGAGGGATTTTGTTCCGACCTGTATTCTTCACTAAATCTTGAAGAAACCTTTGTGTTTGGGAAATTTTCAAATTTGTCAAATTTTTCCCTCAAGTAAAAACTCTATCACGGTGATTTTATTGTCCCAAAATAGTCAAAACCTTTCGAATGCGTGCCAAGGAAATTAAAGTAACTGTCTTAAAGTGTATCTGTTGGGCATAGACTTCAGGTAAAGTGTTAATGATATCTGAATGCTCTTGACAGCTGTTTTATTTAAGTTTATTACTCAAGAATCTTAACTATGCAGGATCGAGTTGAGGACTGTCAGATCTCCTGGTCTGCGCACTACTGCTTAGTCTTTAAGATGAAATCAGATGACTGATGATTCTAGCCAGCACTTCATCTTCTCAACCCATGGTATGAAGGTTGCGTCTCAAACTCCTATAGTGTTAATTAAGCTAATGGTAGACTCTGTCAACATGATGTGAGACAACCTGGTGATGAGTACCGACGGAGGAAGTTGGAATTTAACCAGAAGATAAGAAGCAAGATGCAAGTTTTGGGTTATGTGGGTGACGGCGATAACCAAACATATAGGGCACAATTAAAAAAAACGCTTTCATGAACTATAGTGAAAATCTTAGAAAACGGAATCAGATAAATGTTGAGGAGAAGGAATTGAAATTTAAAGTATTTAACACAAGGTTAAACAAGATTGATATCTATTTGAATAAAAGAGTTGTAGATAGTGTTTAAGTTTGTTAACTGGTTGAGAGCAGCTTGTAGAAAAACGCTGGACCTAGTCTTTTGTTTGTAGTTGCTTGACAGCAAGGTGTATCTGCAACCTCCGAGGAACTGATGTCTCCCATGAGATTATAACCTATGCCACTCAATGTAGTAAATAAAGTAGACAATTGGTTCCTCCAACCATATTAATTCGTCTTATTTTCCAACTTCCCAATACATTCCACTTTCACACTTTCTACTGTAAAATCACTTTATTATGTTACTTCATATATGACGAAATAGACCCATTTATTCATGAATAAGAACAAGACATGTATCAGCGAAGAAGAAATATTTCTTTTCAACGACTTAATTATCAAACTGTAAAGCCATATTTATACCCTGTAAAGTAACAGATAATCGCACTAAAAAGTTGCTCAGTCAATATGCAAAATATACAATAGATGTAGGTGGTAGTATTTGTTGGAGTGTAAGTGATAGGAAATGGATCACTGAATAAGGAGGAATGAA